ACGGAGGGTCGTGGGTTCAAGTCTCATCTGGGGCTCGGATTTTTTCTATTACACTAAAAATTGTTTCATCTTTACATGCTCACTTTGGAGGTTGGTTGGCCGCATCTTGATATGCCTTAATGTGACAGCGTGATGCTGTTAGTGAGTTTTCACAGGTGCTTACCAGTACTTGGCTGTGTAGTCGTGTGATGCGGTTCCAGTCGAGGCCCACAAATTGACCCTTGCTCACCATAGAGTCTCCAGTAGCTCAGTGGTTAGAGCATCCGACTAGATCATGGAGGGGCGTGGGTTCAAGTCCCATCTGGGGCTCGGGATTTTTTCTATTACACTAAAAACTGTTTCATCTTTACATGCTAACTTTACTTTTATTTATGTTTTTAGTCTCAAGCTACTACTGCTGCTGTGCAATAATTATTCAAGTTGAAAAGATAACTCTTTCACAGTTAAACACTTTAGGAATTTGATCCAGTGAAATGCTGTGTTCTGAACTGCAGTAAGTATTTTATTCTTGGCAAGTTTTACATATTGGTGATAGGAATGGGAAGAGGGAAGGGGGAGCGGAGGCTGGGGGGCTCTTGACCCTTTACAGTTTAACATCAGTATGCATATTCTCCATACTGTTCTCTATACATTTCCTAAGGTGCTAACAAGGAGAATTTGCTCAACAATCAAGAGCTTCCCTAGTTGGTGATCATTTTCTTTATTCTCGTGACCTTAATGTGTGATTCGGGGGTGATATTGTAGGGAGAATTTATAAGCCAATCACTCATGGAGGTTAAAGGTTTCAAAAGTACTATCAGTATTTTAAACTTATAAAATACACTTAACCTATAAACCCCAAAAACTAGAATCTACTTTCTCCTTGCAATATCACCCTTGAATCAAACATCGCATTATCAAGAATGAAGGAAATGATTACCAACTAAAGAAGCTCTTGAACAAATTCTCTTTATCACCATCCTGAGAAATGTCTAGAGAATGGTATGGAGAATATGCATGCTGATGTTAGCTGTAAGGTCTTAAATGAAAAATGTCAGACATAAATCTTTGGCATTAGGCCCAAACTTTTTTGCATAGTTTTCCTGACTCTAACTGAACTTATAGGAGAGTAAAGAACAGCAATCAGTAACTGCAGTTACCTGTCTCGATAATTTTGTCCCATATGTAATGCGCCACTTCAACTCTCTTTTCGGGTCGTTCATACAATAACTGCGTTCCACAATTTCGTATCGCCTGGTAAGCTTGTAACGGTGTCAGCTTGCCCTCTAAGAATACAAAGAACGAGTTGCGTGATCTTGGAATTGCATAACACACCGCCGAAAGATGGATCACAAATAACATACACGATCATGTTTTTTGTACATTTATCCTTGAGCCGTGCGAAACTAAGAGATGAAAACATAAGGTCATGATGCATGGAAAAATTAACACTGTAAAATGTATATGTTCTCTTACCCACATTAGAGGAAAGTATGACTTACAGAGGAACATCATTCACACAAGCTTCAGTAACTTCGATATGACATAAATTATGCTCTCACCTTTGAGCAGAATATTCTCAAAGGTTCTCAGTAGAATTTTCTTGACGATGATCGTTCCTAATATTCTTGTATCGCGGTCGTATCTAGTTTCCGGTGCCTTTTCATACCGGAATCGTTTTTTACCGCGCGTAGGCTGACTCTCGATCTCAGACGGTTCTTTAACAGCTTCGCCAGCAGTGGTTTCACTGCTTAGGTACCTCAAGGCGTCAAATCTGGTACTACATGCTCTTAGAATACATTCTTTGTGTAAAATTTCCGAGCTTCTTTGGTAGATCAAAGGGTTACGTATAGCGTTTGCTGCTAAAAGTCGGCATGCTTTCCCAGCCCCGAGTCGTAACAGGGCCGCCATGATGTTAGCACATGTGGAACTTGGTAACCTGGCGTCATCTCTAAAAGAAAAACTAAAGGAAATTTTTCGCCCTCATTTCTCTTTTCTTTTTTCCTCTACTTTTTTTTTCTTCTTCTTTCTTTCTTTCTTTTTGTATTTCTGTTGGTTAATTAATTGACTTCTGGCTTATACCATGAAGATTTCTCAAAAATTAACTCTGATGGCAATCATTTTATTTATGAAAGTAGATCTGATAAACTAAATAATTTCTTTTATTTATTTCTTTTAACGTTTTTTCTCAATCACATCCCTTCAGAAAAAAAAAAAAACAAATATCACAAAAATTTCTTCAGGACTGATAGAAAATATTCTCTAAAAGAAAAACCGTCACGAGTTCAATTTAATTTATTTTACCCGGTGAGAAGACCCTTACTAATAGCACCTGGGCATTAGCGTCCCTTCGCCCGCGAGCCGGCAAAAGGTCTGCAAGGAGACTGGCGCTGAAAAACCAGACCCCGGAAAACTTCTCCTCAACTCGTCCCAAGTCAACCCGCGGGCGAAGAAAACGCGTTCTGCAGCGCTAACAATGAGGCCTGATGCAGGCTATTTTCTTTCTTCCCGTATGCCCTTTACCTCTCCGTCATTACATATCTGTCAAACAAATAGCGTTTGTCAAAAGAAAAGTATCAGCGCCTTTAGTAGCATTGCATCTTGCTGGAGAAAGCACATTCCGGGATTACGCCTGTCACGATTGTGTTGAGCAACTTTTCGCGGTTCTAGCAACTTGAAGAAAACAAGTTTTGCTCTTCTGATCAATTTTTGAGCAAAAATATCGGTTTAGAAATATCAAGCATAAAAAATTCAAAGATTTCATGGAAAACTAACTCACACGGCCTGTCACTTAACGTTTCACAGCTCTATTGCGATCTTCATCTTATATCAAAACAGATAATTAGCCAACATGACGTTCGGCAAGACCATGTGAACTAAGTGTTTTGTACCTTTAGACTTAAGAGTACCTTAAATTTCGCCCAAATTTTGCGAGCTACCCTTAAAGCTAAGCTAAGTAATCCTCCTACCCAGATCCTACCGCGTAATTAACTGTAACTGAAATTTTGGAACTGCTTGGCCATGAAAGGACTAAGTACGAAACTGGACGTGATACTGTTTATGATGGTACCGCTGAACGAGGTGACTCTAATCTCTCTATCGTTATTATAATTTCTTCCCCTACTTGTTATTTGACCCTTTGACTTCTAAGATCTTAATAGTGATCCACCTTACAGTCTGCCATGAAATTCTCATGAGGTAAGTTCAGAGAATTTGGTTTTGGATCAATCAATAACCCTCTAGTTTATATTTTTCTTTATTCTCATCACTTCTCTGCTGATATTGTATTGATAAAGTAGAGAGAAATTCTGTCTTGGTCATTCATGGGAGTTAAAGGGTTAAGAAGGCCTGACTTAAAGTTTTTTTAGTTTGAGATTGATCCTTACGGAAATTCTTGACACTCATCGTTACTTTTGGTAAGGAGGCAGTGTGGCCGAGTGGTTAGAGTGCCGGACTTGTAATCCGCCGCTCCCGAGTTCGAGTCCCACCCTGACCACTGGATCTGTTTCACGGTAGCCCCGAGTTCAGATCCTTGGCCACGCTTATAAATAGCCAACTGGTTTGCCTCCGGCCGGTTGGGGTTGTTAATGATGTTCTTAATGATGTTATGTTCAATTTAGACCATTTGTTTCATTTGTTTTCAAGGACCACAATGGAAACTACTGGTTCACCAGTAATTGCGTAATCATATAGAAAGACTTTTTTTTATGTACGACCTCAATCAAGAGGCAATGGATTATCAAAACATTAACACCATCATCATCGTCATCATCATCATCATCAACAATCTGCCTCATGTTCTCTCTCCTCTTGCAAACGAGATTCTGAATCAAAACTATTTACAAGTTCCTGAGATTAAATGTCAGCTATTGATAGCAAGTCCTCCTTCGGCATCTGTTTGTAATTCTTCAGTACCTGTTTTCTTTCTCGGTAATGTCTTCGTGCCAAGTTCACTTGAATCACGCGAATGTTCTCGTTAAAAGTTTCCACAAGCGCTTTCATCTCAGCCATCATTCCAAACTTCTGTCTTAAAGCTGTCGATAGCAACATTGATAATTAAAAGGTATCAATCATTTTGGGGGTAAAATGGCGTGGAAAATTCCTCTTTAATCGAGGTGCAAATCAATTACGAAAGATCGGGAAAGTAACGGCACAAAAAGACACTCTCGCAAAATAAGCAGCTCTTCCTTCTTCATTCATAAAACCCCGGCGATCCTAACCAACACAAATTCTTCATAGTTCTTTCGAAGAAATCGTCCAGCTTATAGAATCAGAATCAGAATCAGCTTATAGAAAGGAAAACCGGCAACGCAGGCTCGCGCTGTGAATTAAACTGACTAAGCAGCAAATATTTCGCCGCCTGGTTAGCTCAATTGGGATAGCGCCGGACTGCTGTGCGGGAGGTCGAGAGTTCAATACCGGCCGGACCAACACTCAGGGTCTTAAAATTAACTGAGAAGAATATGCTTCCTTTCTTTAACATCAAGAATTGGTTAGATATTCTAGTCTTCTCGGATAGGGACGAATAAATGGAGGTCCCGTCTCCTGCAGGGTTAGGGGCAGGAGACGTTAATTTCCCACGCACGAGATTACTGTGTGATGGATGTCCTCCCCTGGGGTGGGTTGGGTGGGTAACAGGACCCCCGTTGATACCAGTGTTTACTACACTGAAGGGGCTATCCTGTATAAATATAGATGTCTGTCTGTCTGTCTGTCTGTCTGAAGGATTAAATCGAAAGCACGACTGATGCATCTCTCAGCAAGAATTTTACAAGCCCTCCCAAGTATGTCCCCTACGGTTTCGTCCTAAAAGTCAATTGACCAAAAACCATCGTATCCAACCCCTGGTTTCTTTAGCATGAAGCGACTAAGAGAATCTGCACTCCACCCTCCCCCCCTGACAGTTTGTTTGTACACATTTTACGCTCAAAATCGAGCAGCACTTGGGAAGTTTAGTTGAGACTAAAATTAAGCAAAAACATAAATGTGAGAAGAATCATATACCTAATGGATAAATTTTTGATCTTTCCCTGATGCATCGAATTATTTCCCATGTAATGCCACAAAGCAAAAACGTTGTTAACAGGAAGCCGCTGACCAGCAATGATTTTTCAAATAACGCAGTGCGACTGTCAAACAACCCTGTGGACCTTTCTACTGGGAGTGACTCAGCTGGCTCCTGCAAAAGAAACGTAAGCTGATCAGTTTATAAAAAAGTCTGAGGATTACAACATTGGAGTGGTTTCAGTTGGCAGACAGAAAGACTGAATGTAAGCGCCTTTCAGAGTGTTCTTGCGAAACTTCATTCACCCACAGGATCCTCCCTCGGGGCTCACCAGTTACCTTGAAACAACAGACAGGCAGGCAAACAGCCAGTCCGTCGCTTACTCAGTCAGTCAGTAAGACAAACAGACAGACAGAAGCGTGAATGAGACCAACTGAGTGCATCCCCATGACCATACAGACAGACGATCTAACACTGAGACGTGTGATTTCGCAACAAAAATCATTTCCACTCGAGTTGATACAAGTTTAGTTCATAAAAACAGTCCTTTAAAAAGTCAAATATCCGTCCAAGATATAACACGTACGCAATCGTTCTTATCTATCAGCCAGCCAGTTAGTCATCCAGTCACTGAGGATGTAATTCAGGCATTTAGTCTGTTAGTCAGTTGTCAGTCAGTTAGTCAGTCAAGTAGGCAGGCAAGTTATCGGCCAGTCAGTCTTCAACTGCGTTTCTTAGCTAACGACGATAGTCTATCTTTCTCCCGGCTAACCTCAATCGTAGAGGAACTGAAAGTTTATCAATCATTTCATCATTATCCTAATCCATTGAAACGAAGATTTGAGCCCAGTCGTATAAAGGCCAGATAACGCTATCCAACGAATAAATCGCTATCCAGTAGATAAGTGATAACGAATGGTTCTGCGCTATCCACTGGATAAAGATTTATCAAGTAGATAGCGAGGTTATCCAACCTTCTGACGACCAGGGCCTGTTTTATTGCGTTTCGTGCATTGGTGGAAAATATCTACCTGCAACTGTTCAGTATTTTTCTGTACATGATGTGCAATCTCACTAGCCAGAGCCTTTTCAATGTAATGTTTGAAACAGCGCCGTAGTTTTTTGGCTTCACTGCCCATCACAACTCCTTAGGTAGCTGAGTAATCCAGGATCTTATTCACTCGTAAATGTTCTTGGTCAAATAACATCTTGCTGCTTCCAGCACTGTATGTATCTATCAAGGCCCCAATAACTTGTTGTTCATTTAGAGCTTTGTAGATATCATTGAGCGTGTGATACTCTTGATCTTGGTAAAGAAAAAGACAACAGGGTTTTTACTGATAAAATCAAGCTGAAATATCAACAGCGAAATCGAGTCAAGACTCGATAAACGAGGATACAACGTTAAGAATAAGAATGCGCAAAGGAAATCTTTGCTCAGGTTTGCGTGTAACTGTTCATGCCGGTAAAGGAAATACAGTTTTGAGTATTGTTCTCCATCCATTTTCCATGGTATTTATAAAGAAAATTTGTTTAACAGTCAAAGCTAAACCTTTTTTAGTTAACGATAATTTCCAAACTTCTAATGACTTTCAGTGGTAATACTGTTAGGGAAAAACACTTGTGATTCACTCGCAGGATTGAAGTTAAAGGGTGAAACATTGGGCTCATTTTTTCGTGAAAAAGTGGAAGAGTGTGGAAACGTTAGATAGCACCTTTGCCTAGGTTCAAGCCCTGGCTGTTTATGATGTGTTCACAGGTAAGATATATTACTCGCAGAACGCCTCTAACCAAGCCATAATCACGACAGAGTTCAGACGGATCTTTCGTCGGGGATACTTGTAGAAATGCCCGGGTGTAACTTGTCATGCATCCTAACAAGGAAGCAGGGTTGTAGCTAAGAAAATGGCCTGTCGGTCGAGGGAGCCATTCAGCCGGCCGTGTCCAGTCGTATTCAACATCTTGTCTACGGGGCTACTGGGCTACCATATATGGCGATCCGAAAGAGACAGAGACTTTACAGCCCAGATAAAACAAGTGAATTCAAAGCAACACTTCAGTTCACCTTTAACAATTCTGCGGCTTATATGTAGTTCGGTCTTTATTTTCGCATTTTTGTTTGAAACGCATAGGTATAGTAATTTTTCACTTAAACTATACAATATATGAAGACTCGTCTGTCGAGCGATAACCAATCAAAATTCAGCCGGCGATTGCCTCCTCGCCGGCTGCCGGCGCTCAACGACAGCCCTGAGGAAGAGTAGCAATAATTTTGTTTGTTTCACGTCGCGGAAACCGGGATAAGCTCCGAGTTGTGGACCTCAGCGCATGAGCAGATCTAGAATTTACTCTCTCTCAGCCTACCTTCGTCCAATCGAGCATTCTTCCTCACTCCCATTCTGTACTCCGGAGATCCATCGATTGCTGCTACCTTTAAGGAAGTAAGGATAATAGGCAACACTTAAAAATTGTTGAAAACTAATTAGAGTCACAGAGGAGTGTCATAAAGAGACATGTTACATAGACCTGGGCGGCTTACTATCTGACGCCTATTTACACCTCGCCAGGAAAAGTGGACCTAATTTGTGAGCAGATAAAAGGACCTCTTGTTTCAACTATTAGACCACCCTGATGAAGGCACTAGACAGGAGTTTCGAAACGTTGGATCAATGCATTTTAATTCCTCGGTTACATTCATTAAATCCTTAAACCATACTAGCATCAAACCATGTCTGATTGTCCACCTGGTTGCTTTGTGAACTTTAATACATCAGATCTCATATTATTTGAACTGTAATCGGTAAGGTTGAATATGTCAGTGGGAAATGATCCTTTTTTCCATGAGAACATGGCAAGATCGCTTTCGTGAAACGAAATAGCGTGGGTGCTAAGGTATCCATCCCCTTTGTGACCGTCAAATTTGCTTTNGTAGGTTTCTTAAAAAATTTTCGATCTGCGCCGGTGGGAGTAACTAGGTAATATTAGTTTTATCAACTGAGTTTCAAAGCTGACGTTTCGAGCGTTAGCCCTTCGTCAGAGTAGAAAGCCACTTTTTGATGGAACATGCGCTAATCACGGTCAAATCTGAGCACTTCTCGAGAAAATGTCGGCTAATAGTGTCACGAGCATAATTATAATAACGACCAATCAGAACAAAGGCGAGGAATCCCAGGAACCTATGAGAGCTCAAAGCCTATTTATGTCACCAGCCTTGTAGGCAAGAAACTGCGATGAGTAAGTCATAATTGGTCAGTTTAGTCTTGCATCTAATCGGTTGAGGGGATAGCGCGATGTTTCTGGACCAATCACTGAGCGCAGAAAGGTAAAATCATAACAAGGTCACCCATAGCCTCACTCCTTTCCAAAGACTTAACAACCAAGCATGCAACTGTAAAATGGACCATTATTTTCATATATGTTTGTTAGAGTCGAATACGCTAATTGCTTTGGCCTATACCTTGGCTCCGTATAGTTTGTAGTCGGTTTCCATGGTGACAGTCGTAATAGCCGTTGTCATGACACTTGTCACAATACCAAAGATTATCAGTCCGCAGAGGATAATGATAATGGCACAAAATCTCCCTACAACTGATATCGGTGAACGATCGCCATATCTGCGAAAGATGAAAATAACAAAAAGTAAAATAACACCAGTATCAAATCTCTTTACAGTGAAGACCAGCTGCCGTTCAGAATCGTGCTTTCAATAGAGAACAATATTAGGAATATGGGCGCATATCCACCCGTAGATCGCTGAGTAAATACATATCTTAGTTGCATAATTGAACTGCAACTCATTTCTTTATTGGTGCAGAGTGACTACCCTCACGAGTTGTTCCTGCTCAATTGAAAATAAGTAATGTAACCCCCAACTTTACGTCGCAATTACTGTTTTTCCCGACTCACAAAGTTTCTTTGGAATAGAAAGGTATCTTAAGAATACGGCTAAATCCAACGGTTATTGAAATGGCAAGAGGTAAACAAAAAGGTAAAGGATGAAGAACTTTAACACAGATTACAAACTGGGAACTGCACAACAATTCAAACACCATTGTTCCAATAGTCCCAAGCTTACCCAACCGTTGTCATAGAGACAAATGACCAATAAAAGCCTTCAGGTGCTCCTTCGACGAAAGATGGAGGGAAGTCTGGGTTACAACGCGATTCCTAGGTATAAAGTGATTTAAAACAACAAGTTTAGCTAATATTTCGATATATCGTTGGTATGTTGGCTTTTTGTGGACTTATAAGCGAAGTTAGTTTTCTTCTCGCTATACACTTTCTCTTTTTTCCATTTTGTTCTTTCATTAGTAGGTAAAACTTCGCTACTTCTTCTATAGTGTAGTCTGTTTTCTATAGTGTAGTACTGTTTTCTATAGTGTAGTCTGTTCGTTCGGGTGAGTGTAAACCTGAGAAGGACTGTTGTCGGTTGTGGTGACGGACGTTTCGACAACCTGAGCGGAAGTCGTAATTTAATATAATAATAATAAGTTCTTATATAGCGCATTAAAATTGAACTCTTTGTAATCATTATAAACGAACCGAACAGAACGGTGTAGTCTCAGGACTACAGATTACACTATCACTTTCATTGTTTTTACAATTACTTTTCCAAAGCCAGGAGTCAATTGATAAAATAAAGCGAATGTAAGCTGGCGGTCTGCTGGTAGTCTGCGAAGAACCAAATGAAACCTAACGAATAGTATTTTCATTTCTTACTGTTTTACTAAGTGCACGAGGTAGTTATAAAATGTAAGTCTGGGGAGGAACCTGTAGTGTATGACCAAAAGACAAAAGCGGCGATATAGTTTTGACTTAGAAAGAACTTTCTTCGAGCATTGTTGATAATATTAACAGTCATGCTATGTTGTTTCTAGGACGTAAAAAATATTCAAACAACACCTGATCTGACTTACCACTGTCCAAACTCCCAGGCCTGCTATATACGTAAAAGCCATAGCAAGCATGACCGCTGGCCAGCAAGAAGCAATGTTCGCCAAGATAGCATTTGGCAAGCCATCCTGGGAGTTTGTATTCACAATGAACGCCATGCCAGGTGATTCAACTATCCCTTGATAACCAAACTGTTTGGCAAAATGTGTTTGATCTCTGAAACCGTACATCGGAAAGAAAAAGTCTGTTGGATTTCCGATACTATTTCTCAGTGCACGTAGACTGGGAAGCTTGGCTGATTCATTGAAACCATTTAAATTCATGTCCACTTACGATTTCCCATGCGATTGACAGGTTTCACAGCACGTGAACGCTAGCTTGTCGAGGATTGGTGGAATAAGTCCACCCAAAACATTTTCATCTGACAACCGAACATAAGGACGAAATTCGTACCAACTCGTTGTGAGGCGTTTATGACAACGACAAGTCTCTGTTCATTGGAAAACGAAAAAGCCATTCAGTGGTAAAAGTATTAAAGCAGAAAAGGGCTTTTTACTAAGCAAAGGAGGCCGAACTCTGGCCATACTCCTGGCAACCGATAACGAGTAACAAATAACGGGTAACGAGTAACGAGTAACGAATAACGGGTAACGAGTAACGAATAACAACTCTCTTTAGTTCCTACCCTGTTCACTAGAAGGAAAGCAATTTCGGGGTCTACCTTTAAAGTTCGAGAAAAGACTTCATTTACAAAATAGACCCACCTGCATAATCCGTTGCCGATGGACCATCTCCCATGTTTGTAAATCCCAACACATCAATACGATACAAAGTAAATACTTCAAGATTTTTCAGCATTAGAGATAGGGTGGACGTATGGACTATCTGCTCTCTAATTGGCTCATTTTCAACTGACTCCTCACCAACCGCGACAGCCTGATACCTTATCTTATACCCGATTAAAATTCCATTAATACACTCGGGATCGATTGGTTGCCAGGAAACTGGGATGGTTGTCAAAGAGACGTGATTCGTGGTGGTGATACTCGCCGGGGGTCTGGTAGGAGCTTAAAAAATAGAGGAGAATGACATTTGGGTGAGCGATGATAATTTTTTCAATGAAATACGAACCTCATTTCTCGTAAAGTATCGCTCAAGATTTACTTTCATCTTTCTTATTACCTGCCTATAAGAACAATAAATACTAACCAACCACGGTTAGTATGACATTGTCAAATACTAGATAAGTCTTATTAACCCTAATAGCTTATCTTGCCGTGGCTTACCCTCCTCTCCATAGTTTTGACCCTCCCCCCCCCTAAAATCTCAATAGTACCTCTGATTCTTCCTTTTAATCGTTTACTCGTGTTTTTATTAAAAAAGGCCTTAATCTCCGCATTGCACGTGAACTACGTACCATCTTGCCTTGTGAGAGCAGTGAGACTATTCCCAGGACCATATCCTTCAGTAGTAAAGGCGTGTACTTGGATGGAGTAGGCAGTGAATTTCTTTAAATTATCAAGAATAATCCAGCGAAGAAGAGGCTCTACCACCATCTCCTCCACCGTCCCATTGAATGGAATTTCATGGAAGTGAACTTTGAATCCCCTTATGATGCCATTTTCAAACCGAGGAGGGATTGAGCCCCATTCAACAAACAGACTGGTGGAGCTTGGAGCAGAGTATGTGACGTATAATGGGGGCCGATCCGGACCTGTTGATGACAAGATGTTCATAAGTTAGAGAATGAGTTTTAACCTAATGCCAGCACAATTATAGAAACTTCAGCTCCAAAAGACATATGGAAGAGACAAAAACTTACTGTCTTCTTGTGTCGTCAGAGTTATGGGCTTGCTCGGCAACCCCTCCCTGGTCGTAAACGATGTTACCCAAATATGGTACTCAGTAAACTTATATAAGCCGGTAAGTTCAACTTCAGTTATAGAAATGTCAACTGATACATTTTTCAACAAGCTCGGATGAACGGAAGTCGGTGCCTCTACGTAATAAACCGTGTAACCTCGGAGAATTCCCCGAAGATTGGGTAGAACAAGTGAACTCCACTCAACAATGATTGATGTCGAGTTTTTTACTTGTCCCGTCAAATTGGCTGGAGATTTAAACGGAGCTGTTGAAAAAGAAAAGGAAATAAAAAAGCTCATACACATATTTATGAATAATTAGAGAAGTGCAATTTTAACGAATACTGGGTGTCCCGTGACTCACCTTCCTCGTCCGTTTTTCCACTAATGAAGTCACTCCAAGGACCCTCCCCAACGACAGTGAAAGCCACCATCTTGATTCTATAACTCGTCCATATTTCCAACCCGGTGATTTCCAGCGACAGGACCGAGATATTTACAGTGTAATTCCTAATATTATCCCGAGTAGTATTAAATAAAGCGAGCTTGTAACCAATTCCGATTCCGTTGATGGCCTCATCAGGGACTGGGGACCACTGAAATTGTATAACTGTTGGTTTGGTTCCTTTGGCTATGACGTTGACAGGCGGCTCATCCGGGACTGAAAACGCAGAGGGATACAGTAATTTTTTTGTTTTTTTTTTTGCTTTACACAATTTTTCCTCGGAGTTACAGTGAGATGTTCGTCAAGCAAAGTCACATGGTCTTGGTTTAACAGTAGGGTTAGGTAGGCAATAGAACCCATTTTTCTGGTTTCTATATAACTTGAGGAAAGCTTATAAATTACGAGCCGAAGGTGAATGATTTATAAGCTTTCCCATTGTTCTTCACAACATCCCAAGTGACTTTATCAGGTTATAGAGCCCGAAAAAAAGCGAGGCCCTACTGGCCTCGCTTGAGATAATGTATTCTTTTGAATTTTGTACTGGAGAACGAGGCCAGTAGGGCTAATTTAAATTTAAACAAAAGAATATTAATCCGGCAGCCATTTATGAAAGGGGTCTATTGCTTTTATGAAATAACTAGTTACATGCGGCCTCTATCACCCGATAAATCATCCGCTTGGAAACTGAATTGACCAATCATACGATGCCTTCTATGTTTCTTCTGTTGTAATTGAGATTATCAAAGACTGGATCATTGGATAATGCAATTCAAGACTTTTTATTGGCTTAGCCATTATGGTATATGAGCCAATATACCATAATCTACAAATATGGTAAGCGTACGCGTCATCTTAAAATTAAAAAGGAGCAAAAAATTTAATAAAATTTAATAATTTAATTTAACGTTTTTAATAAAACAACTATTCCACTCGCGCTTGTTGGATATGAGATGATTATAGCCAACTCGGCGCTACGCGTCTCTTTAGCTATCTATCATCTCATATCCAACGCGCGCTCGTGGAATAATTGTTAAATATAGCCCGTCTTCGTCTGATCAAAAATGACAGTTACACGTTTAACCTCTATGCGTTTATAGTAGAGAGAAAGTAAGCAGATATCAGAAACGTTTGAGGCATACAAATAAGTGATTCTCTAGTTCCGATCTAAAACGAGTTATTAGTTCTTGATCCGGTCTAAGAAAGGGTTGAACAGCTTTTGATCTACAATTCAGTGTGCGATTCGCGTAGGCTACCGAATTTAAAGGAGCAGCATGGAGCATAGAGCCTGAAGCATGGAGCATGTAAATGTTTGCCCAACGCGGCTCCAAACTCTTGCCGGGGATAACGGGGGGTAGGTGTCCTAGTTTTACTACGAAACTGTGATGCTACGTTGGTCGAAGGGTATTAAAATATAATTTGGCTTTATCAACTGATTTAGTGATTTAATTGGCCACCGTAAAGCTGACGTTTTGAGCGTTAGCGAAACGTTCATCTAATGCTCGCTTGTGAAGACTCTTTACGATGGCCAATTAACATTATTAACTCAGTTTTCACCGAAGTGAAGGCCGCTAGTGGTGGAAAATTACCGTTTTCAATACCAAAACAATTTAAAATCGGTGGGATTCTGCCAAATCAGTTACATACCATCTTGTCTAGTACGGACAAAAACAGGTTCCGAGTAATTCCCAAAACCAGCCACCGTCGATCCAGCGACTTTTATGCAATATTCTTTGTACTTTCCTAATCCTTTCAGTTCCACCTGGAGCTCTTCACTGTTTATTGTTGCTATCAAAGCGCTATCGTCTGGTTTATCACGTCTCCAGTATTTAACGTGATACGTCAGGATTATCCCGTGCGCATGATCGGGAGGTATAGGCTGCCAAGTGACGTTTATACTTGTGGAACTAGTGGTTAACGCGGTCAAATTTGTCGGGGGATGATCTGGTACTGGACGCATGAAGGAAAAATGATCACAGTCAGAAAATTAAAACGAACGCTTACCTTCTACAGCGCACTATTTGCCCAATCTGTAGTAAAAACGTGGCACTGATTACATATTTTCACAAACGGGAAACAAATATACAAACACAAAGTTTGTGTTCATACGCGCTCGTCAACTTAACCTTCTCACTTCCAAGATCTCATAAGCAATTCTTCCGACTGTCTGCAATACGATTCTTATGAAGTGCATTTGGAGAACTTGGTATTGCATCAACTAATATTCCTTTAATTGATATTTTTCGCTATTCTCATCACTTGACTTCTCTCACAATGTATTGATATTGCAAGGAGAAATTACGTCTTGATCACTCATTGGAATTAAAGGGATAAAGGTGTGATGAAAATCGTTGCAAATACGAAAAACTAGTAAGAATTTGGCCTGCAATGACAACTCAATGACCGTTACTAACTACGGTTTATTTGAAATTCATTGAGTATCATCATACCATCTTCTGCTGTGGTAAAGTTCGTCGCCAAAGTAGGAACGCCATCTTTGACAGTAAATGCCAACACCGTGATCGTATACGTGGTGTATTTCTTTAAATTGTGAAGACTGAAGCTTAATGTCTCGTTGTCAGCGCTTCTTTTCCTGCGCCTGCGGTGAGTAGCGTTGATAACAAAGGTCTTCCACGTGTCATTTGGAAATTTGCTTTCACCGTAGGTGACTTTGTAGCCCCGGAGTACACCATTGATATGGTACGCGTCCACTGGTTTCAGCTGGAAGGTTAGTTCTGAGTTAGTGGTGTGTTTGAGAGTGAGGTTTCTCGGAGGTTGACTGGGAGCTGAAAACATACAAAAACTTTATCAAAAAAGGTTAACAATCAACCATCTTCGGTCGTATTCGGCTAACCACGAATGCCCACGAACGCCCGAACATTCGTGCGTTTGTTTAATTTTCTAATGGTGTTCAAATCTTCTTTAAACGGATTGCGAAAAGGAGAGGAATTGAGGGAGCAATATCCAGTTGTCTCAGGCACAATCCACTCTGTGATTCGTTTACAAATTTCGTCGCACTCCCTCAGCCGATCAGTTTTAAACTAGAACCAGTTCATTTAAGGCTCTCGCGTTTTCTAGCGCCATTTCCTTGCGTGCCTCAGTCTCAACTTCAAGATGCCATTGGCTAATTGTATTTTTTCCATCGTTCTGATTGGCTGATGTGATTACTTCCGTTCTGGTCTTACGACGCTTATCAAAAAGCTCTAGTCAGGGTGATTCCTCTGTGTTCTCAGCTGAAAAAGATGTCCTATGACTTTCTGGATATATAGCAATGATCGCACTGACCTCTTGCATGCTAACACTTGTTAAAAGAGCTACAAACCCTTAAGAGGACCACTTGTGCAGCGGCCTTAATCAAAACCTACCGTCTTCTTTTGTTTTCAAGCTGATGATATTAGTAATATTTCCTTCCCATGAGCTTGTGAAGCCATAAACTTTAAACTCGTATGGCGTATACGGTTTCAAAATGTCCAGGTTTGCACCCGACATGGACGAGTTCACCGTGTAGCTAAAACGCTTCCCTCTTAGCAGATCAAAAATTTCCACTCGGTATCCGGACAGCGGTTCTCCCAACTTCACCGTGTCTGGTGGTGTCCAGTGAAGCCCGACACCGGTTGAGCTTGGAACAGAGGACGTTAGGTTGACGCGTTCGATAATGACGTCTGTAAGAAGATGAATAACCTTTAAGGGAAGACATCGTTCATTTTTCGTCTCCCGAATGGGTAAAAAGAAAATGTGAGAACCATCGATGATTCCAGCGTTCCGATTTCGCAGTCAGAAGCTTTATTACTGAGTTAAGGGAACTCATCAATGAACTAAAGCTTTCATTAGCACAAAATTTAACAATTTTATTTATCCACTAACACACGGCGCCTCGACATGTGATGTGACCTTTATTCTGAAATTGGGTGATTCTGCAAAAATTTCCTTTAAAATATTGTAAACTGTTCGATGCAGTCTCGCCAAAGTCCCCCTCAAAGTGTTGTAAAGCACCATAAGCGATAGGATATGGCGCTATAGAAATCCTCATTATTATCATTATTGTTATCAACATTGCCTGATTTTAACTGTTCGTAGAGGGGGGCTTGAGACAGATGTCCCTCTTGCATGGCATCACAATTGAACTATCTGTAGCTCGGTGGTTTTAAGAACACACACTCAAGACCTGAAGTTTGAATACTCGTTGAACAATCACGTACCCCATCTTCCTCAAAACTAAAAAAGTCATTCAGTATTTTTAGGAAGACATTGAAAGCTATTCAAAATGTCAACAGTGAAAAAAAACTCTTAGCCATGACTGGTAATTTTTTTTGGCTAGTTTCTTAACCTTTTTTTAGTGTTTTTGGCCCAAGGGCATATCTTTAGCCATTGCAAAATAGAGAAACTGGGCAACATAAACTGAAATAGCGTATTGAAAAAGTACTTACCATAGCAATTCGATGTTTAACTTCATAAAGTAATAATGATGTATTTTAAGTATTTACCATTTTGACAGGTGTAGAACTCTGCTCTCAAACATATATGATGTTCCCACGATTTTGGCAGAATTCGAATATAGCGTGTGTAGATCGCTGGCGTGATGACATTGTAAACCACCGTGTTGCTGTCCCAATTCCCCTGAAATATCTGCGGAGGATAAAAGACGGGAAAACTTTTTGATACATTCTAAAGCGAGTCTCATTATTACGACTCATATGCGATCTATGCCTCTACGGGTCACAGTATTGAGAAAGGACTATGGATGGCTAATTTTTGTGTTTTTGCAATAATGCCGAGCCGGTACCGTAAAAGTAATGTTTACAGGCTGATTTTTTAAATCGACAGAGTCGGAGTCGTTAGGCGATAATTAACAAATGGTAAACACCGCAGCGTACACTATTGAGTTATGGATGCACGCGGGAGGTTGCTAAGCACGAAAGAAGCGTAAGAGTCGCTCGAGGCGATAGCCGAGAGCGACTCTAGCTTCTTGAGTGCTTAGCAAACCTCCCAAGTGCATCCATAACTCATTAGTGTACGGTGTGGTGTTTACCATTTGTTTTATAACATAACATTAACACATTGTAGCTAAAGAGTTCCCTTTTATTTAACAAATCTTACGCGTCCAGAAAAAAAAAAGCGCGCGCGGAAAAATAGTCTTTGCATTTGCTCACGTCAGCAGCGTATACCCATGGGCAAATGGGGGACGCTAAATTGACCAATCAGAGCGCGCGCTTTACTTTGGTTATGTTATAAGATCTGATGGAAATCAAGCCGATGAAGAAGGGAGCAGTCAGATGAACGGTACCGCTTACGACTCTGTCACTTATGATCCAAAGAAGATAAGAACGGTGGATTAATAACATTAGATTGTGGTCGAAGGACCTGGGATATGGTTTTTTGATTAGTTGGCTCTTCAACAGCATTTTGTGACTCCAATTATCTAGTTTTCTGCCGATCACGAACTTTGGAGCGTCCGAGAAAACTATAAATGTTCTAACCCTAACCCTAACCCGAGCTTACACCTTCGCTTACTACTCCCATTTCGGTTTTTACAAGGTCTTAGGCGCTCTTGGGCATCTCGCCCCGTCGCTGGTGAGAACCTACCTTATTGGAGAGTCTTACCGCTCAAATAGTAGAGTTGGTTAAAGGAGTGACTTTACTGACAGGTGATCCACTCAGCTGGAGCACAGAATGTTCATGTACAAATTCATGTCCTACGAAAAACTTTAGACTTATTCATAAACGTCCAATCGTTCGGACAACTTGTGACTTGAGGTGTGCATTAACGAGTGGAAATAAAATTCGAGATTACCTTAACTTTCCCGAGCTGTTCATAAGCTTTAAAGAGGACACCATCACGGCTGTAATTCAACGAGAGAGTTTTCACCCATTGCTGGAATTTGTTCCTCTCCGTAATGCCATCATAAAATCTACCTTGAGTAGCCATTTGAGTCACCATAACATTTTCTTCAAAATCGACTTGAAGCCATTGGTGGTGTCTTGCGTTCATAGGAACGCACCACGCTCCTGCCAGGGGACTAGTTCGCGGGTTAAAATTCAATCGAGCGTTGCGTGCGGCATGTTGTACATCAAACTGAGATGATGCAGTTATCTGAGCGTCAGAAATATCGTAGTTTTCCATTCCAAGAGCGCGACAACCTGCAAGCAAAAACCAGAAGGAAACTATTGATGATAATATAAGCCAATAGGAGCTAAAAACAAACTCACGTGACCAAGGTCAAGCGCGGGAGAACGTGTCTGACAAACTTGCAACTGGTTTTGTGTCAGCATCTGATTGGTTTTTATAGAGATGGTACCACTTTGTCACAACCAGTCATAGAGAATGTGTAAAGATTAACAGGAAGAAGTCAGCAACCCAGATTTGAACTCATTTTGAAAGTAAACTGAAAAGGAGCCCGAAATAAAGATTCACTTCTTCTAAAAAAAGAAATTGAGGGTATCATCCATGCCTAAATTGTGTTCCTGGAAATATGCCGTGTTCAGAAAATGTTGATCAAAGCGTCGGAGAATTTTCGATTTTCATGGTATAAAAATAATCTAAAAAGCATGAGGTTGCCCAAAAACTCCATTTTGCTATCAAAAACATTAAGAGTATGTTATGAATGTTACAATAGCACGACCTTAATGAATACAGTGTTAAGGACAGCAAAAGAAAACGTAATTGAGTGTTTAAAAAACTTGAAAATATAATAAGTTAATTAAAAATAAAAGCTTGTGAAAGAAATTCCAAGTTGAAAGCAAAAAGAAATCAAGGGCTGTTTTGACTTTGATTTACTTCGTCCCGTTCTTTTACTCTCGTGGCCTTAACCTTATGACTCCCAGAAGTGATGAACGTGTAACTTTTCTATATGGTATCCGATTTTCGCTATTGCTTAAATAGCGCTATCTACTGCGAGGATCGTGCATCATACGTATCTAATACCGCAGTTCAAAATATATGAACTTCATATATTTCATTGTATCTGATTTATCACTTTCACGGGTTTATTACGAATCAACTTAACGGCCTGCTCCCAGTTGGCTTGTTAGCTCAATTGGTAGAGCGCTGCACTAGTATCGCAGAGGTCAGTGGTTCGAATCCCGTACAGGCCTGATTTTTTTCAGGTCTGATTTTCGCTATTGCTTAAATAGCGCTATCTACTGCGAGGATCGTGCATCATACGTATCTAATACCGCAGTTCAAAATATATGAACTTCATATATTTCATTGTATCTGATTTATCACTTTCACGGGTTTATTACGAATCAACTTAACGGCCTGCTCCCAGTTGGCTTGTTAGCTCAATTGGTAGAGCGCTGCACTAGTATCGCAGAGGTCACTGGTTCGAATCCCGTACAGGCCTGATTTTTTTCAGGTCTGATTTTCGCTATCGCTTAAATAGCGCTATCTATTGCGAGGATCGTGCATCATACGTATCTAATACCGCAGTTCAAAATATATGAACTTCATATATTTCATTGTATCTAATAATAATAATAAAAAAGCATTTATATAGCGCTAAGCTCGACTAGTTCTCCGTAGCTCTTAACAAAATGAATAAGGAAATTAATTTTATGATTGGTGCCACGCAAGAGACATTCGTCCTTTCATTCTTAGGAGCGATCAAATAGGAATTTTACCACAATTGGCAGTAATGCCGCGACTTGATTGGTCAATTTGCCGTTGTGTAAACACAGAATGCAAATATGGCGTCAAATTTGAGTGCCATCGTTCTGGACTGACTAGCCTCTCACACTTGTAATAATCCTTTTGTATTTCCACGTGAGACGAGGCTGGTCAGTCCAGAACAATGGCAATTCAAATTGGACGCCATATTTGCATTCGGTGTGTAAGAGTACAACAGACAACTTGTGTCTTGTGTCAACTTGTCACGCAACGTGTCACGCACTTATAAATGTTGCGGACTCCTTATGGACAACATTTTGACCACTGCGATGACGAATATCATCGTCGATAAGAGTACAGACTACGCTAAACCACTGTCTATATGTTAATTTCTCCACATAGTGTCAACCTTCTTTAAAGGAGAAAGGAAATCGGACGATATCAAATTTCCTGTGCTAGAATTATAAGAAATCAATAGAAGCTAGTGAAGAGAATCGATATTTAGATCTTGGCATTGATAGGGCTTGAGGAACCATTTTTTTCACGGCTATGAGTTGATAAACCAATTTGACCTTACAGCGGTCAAACGTCTGTGCATGCGTGAATGATATAATGTTCAGGTGGCATGCTTTCATGCTGTCACGGCCAGTTTGTCTCACACAAATTACAAACAACCACACAGAGCAGTAAGTCATGGTGTTTTAGAAGAGTATGATTTTCTTTCTGAAGCTCAAAACAGAATGGTACATCAACAGGATATCTGTAAATAAAGAAGCTTTGGGATCGAAAAGTCGCGAGTTATTCTTTCTCTACTTTTGCTTCCTTTTACAGGAATTCTATGAACGTTTAATTGTTGTTCGCTTCTTTTGTAAAACAGTTGCTTTTTTCTTATGTTTTCCTTCGAAATTTTGCGCGGGAAATCGGCGCGAGGGCGGCCAGATTGATCCCCTTGCGCATGCCCGACGTTTGACCAGTTGTGGGAGGTTGCAAAAAAATTCAGTTTTTTGATAATATTCAGTTTGCCCATAGCCCACCTCCTTCTTGTGACCTGACGGTAATTGCGTCACTTAGTGGTCCGCCTCCTATGACTGTAAACGCTGCAACATGGATGTCGTATAGAGTATATGTGTGTAGGTTTCCTAGTACCACCGACAAGGTGGTAACGTTTACCGTCACATTTTGTTGCAATCCACCTTGGGTTCCGTACACGACGCGGTAGCCTATAATTTTACCATTGCGATGTTCCAGCGGGACTGGTTGCCAAGTAACGTTGATTCTCTCTGAACCATCGAGGAAACCTCTGACGTTTAAAGGAGATGACGTTGGAACTATAAGCAAATAAAATCAGAGCTTTTTACTTTCTTAAGAAAAATGTCACCTAAATTCGTGAGAAACTTAGCATGAAGCTTCTTTCTCGTTAAGGTTAATCTCTCCAACTAAACCATTATCGTTCCATCAATGAAATTAATAAAGTTCCTGAAGCGATCAAGCCTTCCGAAAATCTCTTTCAAATCGTTTCCTAGAATGCTGCCTCTCTTACCTCAACCTGAGATCACGAGGTACCCGTGGGCGAGAAAGACGCAAGGGTTGATAAGAACGGTATATAAGTTGTAATCCAGCCAAGTGACCCATACTGACCAAGATCATCCCAGTTTCAGTGGAATAAAGCGACCAGGAATATTGGAACTCCTCCCGATGGGATTGTACTCAATTCTTAGATAACTACTTCATTTTGTCAGTTTTTCTCGACAGGTTTCCATTTATACTATTGGTGGAGTGCAATATCGTGTAGGTAACCGGCCTGCTATCCAACCCAAGGCATTCCATATGGAGTCCAGCACGCTGGTTGCGAGAAAGGGGAGGTTGCTAAGAGCCGAAAGCTCTAAAAACTGCCCTCACTTTTTAGAAGCACAAAAGGAGGAATACAATAATCAAAAAGACTGATCTACTTTAAAACATAAACAGTGTTGTGAAACTCACCACTTTCTCCAGTCCTCAAAAACACTTCCTCACTTTCCTTTCCTTCACCTTGAAAAGTGAGGGGTCTGGCACTAATGGCGTACACTCTGTAAGGCAGTAGATTTGTCAGGTGGTACTCAAGTATCCCGGATGAAGTCATGACTACGAACCTCTGCGATGAATCACCCAAGCGGTATAAAATCTCCACACCACGAAAAACTCCGTGGCTCAACTGTTCTGGTTCATTCCAGGACAAAGAGACTGCACTTGAGTTGATGCAGTTTGGCGTGACTTTAAGTGGCTTCATGTAAACTGAATAAAAGTTAAACAGCATTTAGTAAATTAACATTCGGTTACCACGATATTTATATATCAATAGACTCATTTCATGATAATGCAGAAGATGAAAATGTAATTTTCACTCTCATTGAACGCGATCTCAGTAACCAAGCTGGAAACTTGAACATTTTACGGGAATAAAACTGAAAATGAAAAGGTCGCGTTCTTTCCATCTCGATCAGTAACACCGTTGAGCTTGTTGATAGAAATGGATACGTTCCGCTGACCGATTCGATCAGTCACTAGGCTCATATGAAGAAGATTCTATAAGTATAAAAACTGTCTTTTCCACCTTCTTGACATCCGTAATAAATTAAAAGCTCATCAACGCAACTAGTGAAACAATGGCATTGCACAATAATAAATTTACATCGCAATGGCTAAGAACTCACTGCTATTGGCTTCCATGGCAACAGGTTGAACTGTGATGTTACCCAACACGTGTCTTGTCACAATACTTTGCTCCAGTGGTTTTACTTCCCTATACCCAGTGCCTTTGAAACGCACAGTAAAGTTAGCAGCCAAGACTGTCATATTCCTGAAAAAAATTGTCATTAAGTCATTTACCACCGCCCCGTAAGAAAAACCCAACACTGTAAATGTCTGTCACCCCGTCCACACATTAAATGAAGAAAGGGTGTGCGTCAGTTTCTAAGGAAACTGTGGTGTTATGTCGGTAAGGGGTAGTACAAGGTACAAATGAGTTTTTAATGTGAATTGGCCAACCTAAAGATATCGTAAAGCTGAGGTTTCATGCGTTAGCCCATAGTCAGAGTAAATCCCTTTTATGAGGGATTTGCTCCACAATCACAATTACGAATGTACTGGCTTTGAACGGTCAGATAAAAAGCGGATACATAACTTACCAGAACGCAAAATTGTCCACTTTTATAACTTGATCTGTTGTATAGAGACTAAATAGCTGCCATAGTTAAAAAATAGAAGAACCGTACGTTAGCAATGGAGTTGTTTTATTTTGAGTATCCCCGGATCAGAAGAAATAGTTCCAGGTACAATGGTTTGACTCATCACGGATAATTTTACATTGCTTATACGCATCTTGAGTTAAAACTCGAGCTCGAGCCTCGAGGTATGAAACAGAAAGGAAAAAGTTGGTTTCCAAATAATTCTTTTGATCTATCCAAAAAACATTCATAAAAGTTGGAAACGATCGTGTCAGTCATTGTGTCGTGAATGATGGTATTGAGTCTTCCTCTTTCAGACTCGATCACAAACTTCCGAATAGAACCAAGATCTGTTAATCATCCAATCTTCTCGGTTGTCAGTGATCGGCTGAACGAACAGTGATTCTATACAATTATCGTGCTCTATATGTCATTATTTTATCTGTCATACTACCAGAGCTCAAAAGTTCTGCGCATGCACTATTCGGATTTAAGTTTACGGTCACTTCCCATGCCTGAATCGCCCCTGGTCAGATCGCTCCATCAACTCAGTAAGAGAAGTGGCCTGGAGATGAACTGAACGAACTGTTTGTAGCGCTGCTGTTTTCGCCATGTTGGCGAAGATATCACGCAAATCGTATAGATAAATTTTAAGTTATAGTATAGGGTCACTTCTGATTTTTGGGCAAAGTCCCTATTTTGGAGCGATCTAACTTGGATTGTCTGACCATGGGGCGAAGTAGAAAGTCCACACCAGGTAGTTTCTGGTGAAAGGGTTATCAGATCTCAAGGTCAATTGTCAACGCAGCTCGCTAAGTTAGATAATTAGGGATCCATTCTGTCCCTGGGTCTGCATCTTGAAGAATAGAACAGTGAAATTCTGTGCATTATGCCGCTTAGTCCCCTCTGTACCGCGGAAGGTTCAGGACTTGGATTATAAAAAATGTTTATCGATCAATTTCCTTCCTTTTTTATACTTGTGATCTTTAACCTACATTTCATTTCGGTTTACTTCGACTCTAAGGTTTCATGATTCGTTGATTGTCAATGTAACGCATCTTCATGCGTACAAACCTGACTTGTAAGCGAAGACGATAAGTCTTGAAACATTTGTGACTCCTTTTGGGACAATTCGCGATGATAACTTTCATCTGTTAATTTGAGGCTCACATTAACGTGAAGATTTGCCGCACCTGTAAATAAAGATTTAAATTACAGTCAGTGGGAGACGGAATAAGTACGAAGATGATGATCAATTGTCCAATGTACATAGATCTGTGACGAGGCATCCCAGCAATCCCTGCTTCACTGGATCCGATGCCTATTTGCAGTGGCGGATCCAGACCTTGCGCTAAGGAAGGGGGGGTTTGTGTGTACACACCTAACGACTTTTCTTTGCGCATATTTTATTTTACCCAAAATAAGGGGGGGCCGGGCCAATGTCAGTATCTGAGCAACTGCGCACCCACCCCTCCCCTGACACAACAACAGTCAACTGACAATAAGGTAGGGTTAATGCTGGGTTGGGCGGAGGGGTGGGTACACAATGATCCGACAATTTAAACCTATAAGGTGACCCTTTAACTTCTCAATGGTATCAGTTAAAAACTGATGGCCGTCCGATAACAATGATGTTACACGGTAGTTCCTTTAGCGACTAAATCTCGCTAAAAGCTACCTCACTTAAGGCATTTCCAACACTTACCTATGTAGTACCTGTAGAGTTTCTCAACTAATGTTTTCGATAGCGTTTTTGTCCATACTATCAATTCGTCAAAAGAGGCTTTCGGAAGCGCAATGGATCCTATTGTTATTTCACTATTAGATGCGATATTAGCAAAATTTCCCGAATGACATTTGTTTGACAAATCAGTGACAAATACTCCGTTACGGTAAAGAGTATCTGGGAGATTTGTTGTCCACATTATGACTAAATGTGTCCAAATCCGCTGCGAAACTCGAAATTTCGTCGCGCAAAGTTTTTGGGCAGACTTTGTTTCAAACGTCAGCTCCTCGCTGCTTCCATCTGCTTGATATAAATGGATTCCTCGGTCTCCATTTGCTTGATCACCGGCGGCCAGGAAAGTTTGGTTCACCTGTGGCCCCAGGCTTTCATAGAAGAGCCACAGTGCTATGGTGACCTCGTAGCTGTAATAAGGAGTAGCTAATAGGTAATGATGGTCAGGTGATATTTTAATGTATCCAGGTTCTCCTGCAGTTTTAACCGCGCGGCCTCGCACGCCGGGTACAGACTGTATCGAGTTGCTCCGTTTCATCCACGTGGCGCCTCGAACGTTTTTGATGTCATTAACATCATCAAACGTCCACAGGTATGAGGAAGCGACGAAAAGGTCTTCAATGTCGAAAACATCATGGCCTGTCAATAAATATAAAAACAACTGATGTAGTTAGCTGCATTTTCCTGGGGGTACCTCCTAGTAACAGGCTATCGGGGATGTGATGCTGGATGAGTTGTCGTTTTCACGAGTGGATTTATGATAATGGAGGAAAATAGAGTTACAAGAATGGTTTCGCATATTCGCAGGATTTTTGGGGTAAGAAAATTGTGGTAAGCAAGGATTTCAAGAGCGGTTAAAAAGTGACGGATTTTTAATAGAGTTACAAGAATGGGGTCGCACATTCTCGGGATTTGGGGTAAGAAAATACTGTTAAGCAAGGATTTAAAAATGGGGAGATTTGAGGTTAAAAAGTGACGGAGTTAGGGTCGCAAATATTACCTTTGCCAAAAAGTGCTTGAGATGAGGTCGATATAAAGCCGCAAAATAGACAACGATGGGATAGGGATTCAGAGAGACCAGCAGCACGTACCAAGCAAATACCAAGCAAAATTTGACCCAGCAACCCCCTCCCTTCTCACCAACCCGGGCTAAATTACCTTCACAATCAGAAGCTTAGATGCACCATGCTTAAATAATTGGTAGATGATATCTAAAAAAATTGTTGAAAGTGAACGTCACTTGAGATACTTTCTTTAAGTAGATAGCACTGTTTCCAGCTTCCCTGGTTTGGAGATCTTTTGTGGGAGGCCCAGTTTTCCGAAACTCAAGTTTGCATTTCAACGTGAATGTAAGGCCAGACTGGAGTAAACCAAGATGACAAGTATGAACAGGAGTTTTAGTTACCATCACATTCGTAAAACTCCACTCTCATGGATACATAATGGTGCCAAGTCTTTGGCAGTACCCGGATGTAGCGCGTGAATATGATTGGATTGATTGTGTGGTAAACAGTTGTATTGTAGTCCACGTTGGCATTGAATACCTGAAAAAGCGTGAAGCCAAATTAAACAGGAAATTAAAACTGCACATGTCGCTTTAAAAAAATTTCCGTCAGAAATCTTACTGTTCTTATAGGTAATAGCAAAGACGTTGTTTTTGAAACTGTTCAACTATTATAAATGTAACCAAATATAAGAAGCAAATAGAAGCCGTAGAAAAGCTCTTACCCTGGGTGAACCATCCGGTTCGTACAAAGCAAAGTCGATACCATTCAGACTATAGGATAAGGAATAGCTCGTCACCCACATGAGGTACCGTGTGCTGTCCCGTCCTTGAGTCGCCAATTTCCCTAAAGAAACCATCCTGACAAAGTCCACCTGATACCACTGGTGTGGGTCCTTGTGAAGCGCAACCCAGCAACCACAAATTCCACCACCCTCAGGGAAGTTAAGCCGTCCATAGTGTGCTGCGTGGACGGAGTTGAGTTCAGACGAAGCAGTGATTTGAGAGTCAAGTATGTAGCCATTCTCCATACCTAGAGCTCGGCAGTTTGTTCCTTAAAACATAAAGACAGTGAACGGTGTCAGAGAACAGTGCAGATCGGTTATTGAAGGGGTGAAAACACTATCTACTGAATAAATTTCTGTGCAGTGGATAGCGCAGTACATTTTGTTAGCACTATCTGCTTGATAGCGTTATATACCTTCTGAACGACTGGGCCCATATGGGTAAGGATTCGTCAAATTTTACACAAGTAAATTATGTGGTTTTCAAGCGATTAATATTTTGAAAATCGCTTCTTTTTCAAAATTCAAATTGACCCTTAATACGGCATTCGATCGTATGCTGACTCACTAAAATGAATTCGTATATGCTCCATCAAATTATTACGACCTGCTGAATTAAATGTATGTTAATTGGGGAGCGGGTGCACATTGTGCGAGTTGACTACGTGGAAATCTTTCCAGAAAAAAAATACGAGAAATGTGCAAAATTTCAGCTCGTATTATGTGTTTATTATATGATATGTTATGTTCACCGAAAAATAGGATGCACCCAAAATTCCATTGCCTAAAATCTCAACTTGAGCATAATAAAAAAACGGATAAAATAAATCAACGTTTGGATCGTTCAGTGCGACCTTTTTCTCTCTCCTTTTTCCGTACCAATTTGTGCCTCACTCTACATGATAATAATAATAATAATAATAATAATAATGAAAATAATAATAGTAATAATGACAATAACCTTTATTTATCCTGATTAAACCAATCAGCTGAACCCATAGGAAACAGCTAGTGTAAACTGGTGATCAGCAATATAATCTTAAAATATATATCTAAAAAAATATTTTTACATATAAATAAAAGAATAAAAGAAAAATCATATCATTATGGATAAGTCTGAAGTCATAAAGTCTGCGCTTCGATTTTTCTGTACAACAGTGCTCAATACACAAAAGTTGAGCGCAATATATGTTGAGTAGAAAAATACGACTACTACGTTTTTATCCCTACAAGCCTGATTCATAATTGCTCACTCAACAGGGGATTTTACTGATGAGCGAGCAATCACGAAACAGGCTTGTAAGGATAAAAACGTAGTCGTCATATTTTTCTACTTAACATATATAGATATATTTATATATAAAGTGTCGAATTTTGACTTTCATAAAACAGTGCTCAATACATGGAAGTAGAGCGATGTATATATTGTGAGAAGATGAACTTGTAGTTAATTTGACTAATTTCTCTTTCTCTGATATCTTATAAGTAGTGCTAAATCCAAAAAAATTCTTTACAACCTCAAGTTATTTTCAAAACTAGAGAGGGAGCTAGGTTCTAGTATCTCTTCAGGAGGTTCATTCCAGTCTTTCGCAGCCGCATACTTAAGAGAAGATTGTCCCATTGCTGATGGCATCATTCCCCCTAAATCTAATAAGGTAACAGCTCACCGAATCAAAATATGGCGTCCTATTTGAATTACCATTGTTTTTTACTTACTAGCCACGTCTTCATGTGGAAAACACAAAAGGATTATCACGTGTGTGAGAGGTTAGTAAGTCCAGAACAATGGCAATTCAAATTGGACGCCATATTTCGATTCGGTGTTTACAGCTCTTAAAAAACCTTTTTTGCAATTCTGATCGCTCAACTACGTAAGTTTTTAACTTATCTGGAGTACTTATGCTATAAAAAAATTGTACAAACAAGTTGAAACCTAAACGTCACATATTTGGCGCGTGGTGTTGCCTGATAGAAGAAAAATAGCACTTCTTGAGACCTCAAGTACTGTGGTTTTTCTTACTAGGAAATGACAGGCATCTTAGGTAATCTTGCAAGTGACTTGAATTAACAAATGGTAAACACCACAGCGTACACTATTGAGTTATGGATGCACCCGGGAGATTGCTAAGCACAAAAGAAGCGTAAGAGTCGCTCGAGGCGATAGCCGAGAGCGACTCTAGCTTCTTGAGTGCTTAGGAAACCTCCCAAGTGCATCCATAAATCAATAGTGTACGCTGTGGTGTTTACCATTTGTTTTATAACATAACATTGGTACATTGTAGCTAAAGAGTTCCCTTTTATTTAACAAATCTAACGCGACCAGAAAAAACAAGCACGCGCTTAAAAATAGTCTTTGCATTTGCTCACGTCAGCAGCGTACACCCATGGGCAAATGGGGGACGCTAAATTGACCAATCAGAGCGCGCGCTTTACTTTGGTTATGTTATAAAAATGGTTGGACTTCATGTTTGTTATTTTATAAAAAAAATGCAAGACACTGACCTAACGAACTTTTAGACAGAGTTATCTCGCTGGGTCCTTGGCCTATCAAATTTTGTATTTGAGAAATCCATGGTCACTTGTTGTTTCCTGCGTATCCGACGAAAGCAAAACTTTCTCTTTTACGATAATAAATGGGATCAGTGGCGCCAAGTCTTTTGAGGGCATCAACCACTGGCTCACCGTGTCTTGAGCTGTCTTGAATGGCAACTAAAACAATTTGGCTGCAGAGAGAGCAAAGTAAAGGTGTTTGAGAAGTAACTGCTAGGCACTTATAAATTGTGCTAGGATAAAAATTGGCATAAGTTAGAAAAATGAGCATGTTACTTTGCACTTTTTATGAACGTAGCACTGCTAGCCTGATTAGCATATTTTTAGATTTTTTATTTGCTTAGTCTTTAAGATTGATTATTTCCAAGGTCATTCCATGGGTCAGTGTAATTTCAACTTTTTAATGTCTCGGGGGAAGAAAGACACCGCAAAACTTGCGTTGTTCCTCGTCAAAGGACTGGGCACACCGGAAATACAGATTACGTCGGTCCCAGTTCCCTTTTTCACAGGCAACAAAATGGAAGTGGTTAGCAGTGTTTTACCCGAACACGTGTGTAACTCAAGTTAAACGAGACATCATCCTTCAATAACCATAAATATATCATCTGAACTTATTTTGTGTTTCTTTTTTGAAAAGCATCCTTCTAGACAAAAGTATCATGATTTTCAGAAAAGAGCATAATTATATGCATAATTTTGGAAAAAATTGAATACAAATAACACAAAAGATCATTGGCGAGCGCTTAGATCTTCTTAAAGGTAATAAGTTGCAGACCAACCTATTGATTCACAACTTACTTACTTTCCACTTGCGGTGTTCAGAAAGTCTCTGAATGCTTCGGCATTCTGTGTGCTTGCATAAGTATCAAATCCTTCCCTTCTAAGCACTGTACCTAAATGGAATAAAAAGACATTTAGACCGCATTGAAACCGGGCTTGGGACGTGAAGACTTACATTAGGATAGTTCAACCGGGTCTAATCCGATCATCATCATCATCATCATCATCATCATCATCATTATTATCATCATCAACAACATGCATACTGGACTCACGGTAGTCCAGAGAGTTGGCCCGTCATCTTTAAGTTCTTAGTTTAATCGATCTGGCAACGAGATACTGAGGTGAAAGTGTAATGTGATCGTCTGGGTGAAAGCAGTCCTGAGAAGGACTGTTGTCGGGGGTAGAGACTGACGTTTCGACAACCTGTGTGGAAGTCATCATCAGATTCAAGTGACTTGACTCTGATGATGACTTCTGCACAGGTTGTCGAAACGTCAGTCACTACCACCAACAACAGTCCTTCTCAGGACTACACTCACCCGGACGATCACACTACACTTTCACATGTTACCCCGGGTTCAAACCAGTCACTGAGGTACTG